GAATCAAACCTGTAACCTATACAGACCCACCACATAGCCTGACATGCTTTTACCGATTGAGCCACAGAGGATTGTTTGGTTAGCATGGTCGATTTTACTGCTTTTTCTATAAATAAATTTATATATATATATATATGATATTATATAAAATGATTACTTAACTTAAATATCATTTTTTTTTGTTTTCCCTGACTTTGAAGTTTCTAGTTAATGACAATTCTTCAAGGGGTTCTGTTTTTTAAAAATTATTAATTCTTCATTAATTAATTATTTTAACATTAACATTTTTAAAATAGGGCACTCTATATAAAAATAGCTACTGTTTCTTAAGTTTTATATCTCTCATACATATATATATATATATATATATATGTGATATATATATATATAGTGTTTGTGTGTGTGTGTGTGTGTGTGTGTGTGTGTTAAAATTAAAATAAAATCATTCTTGATAATGGCTAAAAGTATAGGGACATACAGAAGATTTGACAATTTATACATAATTTATGTCCAGAAAAGAATAAAATTATAAAAACACAAGAAAAATTTATTAAAAAAATTAACTGCAGTACCTTGTCAGTTGTTTTTAAATGAAACTTGTATAAAAGAATGATTGCTGCTCAAATACACAATTATATATATATATATATATATATATATATATATATATATATATATATATCCAAATTCATAAGATATGTAACAAGGTTTCTCCTTCTGAGGAGGTTTATTTGAATTTTCAAAAAACTTGACAAGACACCAGAAGTGTTGAAATACAATGGCTACTTTGTAGTCATGTCATAATATGCTTATCTTATCATTTTTATAATAATCTTTTCATATCCATGAATATTTTTATCAATATATTACAATTAAATGAGACAAGAAATGCATGGTAACAATAAGAATCTTTTATTTCCCAAGTATTTTCCATGTCTTTTACTTGGGAAATGAAAGTGCATTTCTTGTCTCATTTAATTGAAATATATATAAAAATATTCGTGAATATGTAAGGATTATGATCAAAATTAGCAGACACAATGTTTGTAACTTATTCAGTCAGACATGCCTAAAAGAGAATTTGCCGCATAAATGCGCAAATATAAATATATATATATATATATATGTTTCATTAGAAATGACATACAAGGTACTACGATTAAGCCTTTTATTTAATTTTTCTTCTGTTCAAACATGGGCTTTTTTGGATACAAAGTGTGTATTCCAAAGCTTCTATATAATTGAATTATCAAGGATGAAATTTTTCAGTTTAATTGAGTGTGTGAGTTATGTGTATTTTTAGTTTATAGTGTAGTGTTTTATTTTCTGAACATGGTTAGTACATTGTGGCCTTATTAGTAACTAATATTTTTAAGTGTTGGCTTTTTCTTTTTTATTATTAGGGCTTCCATTATTTTTAATTTTTTTTCAGGTGGGTGATGTTATTTTGTTTGTGTTTTCTACTAGTATGTTTTGAATGCAGTCTGGTAAGCTTGTGTGTGCATTTAAATGGTTTCTAATGGAACTCTGTTTGGATAGGTGTAACGTAAGGTGTCTCAAAAGCATGTAGTTGTGTGACCAATGTAATTATTTATGAATTTGGTTTGACACAGTTCCTTAAGGGGTATTTGAACTCATGTTCATTTTTATTAACTTTTGTTGTAACTAATAACTGATACAACAAAAGTTAAAAAAATGAACACACTACCACCCTTTTCTGAATGATTGTATTTCCTGTATCCTTGGTGAATTTGTGCATTTAAAACTCAGTAAATTTAAAAATAAGTTACTCCATATTTGCTTGAAGATGAAATTAATGTTTTTAATTTGATTACAAAAATTAAATTTGAAGTTTTTAGCTTCCATTTTTGAAACATTTGTAAAAAAACATATTTTAAACCAGGTAATTTAATATTTATTTTATACTGAGCAGTGTTTTGTAAAAATAAAAATATAATAAGAACACCGGATTATATATCTTACTGTTCTTTTTTTTATTTATATATATATATATATATATATATATATATATATATATATATATATATATATATATATATATATATATATGCAATTATATATATATATATATATATATATATATATATGATGATAAGTGGGGATATAAATGTAAATATCTATTATAGTTATGTGCTGAGGGGAAATACTGAAGATGTAGAAATGCTAAATTGTAAATTTTAAAATTTTCTGGCATCCAATGTGCCTAGAAGCATTGTTCTGTTAAACTCATTTATTTTCCCAGTGATATTATTTTAGTCTTTATCCCTATCATTTATATGTCCCCTCCCCCCGTATCCCTTGTAATATGGGAAAATTAGCAACTCTCCATATGTGTCGTGACAAATTATCAAAGGACGTGACAAATGAACAGTTTAGAAAAGCATACTGTATGTAAGTAATACATTATACAACTAGAATGCAAAGAGAGAATTGCTAAATATATTCCTTTAGAAGTTAATGTCATGGCATCAGGGACAAAGTCGAAATACATGTATCTGTTTGAAATTGATTGAAACACTTATCTGATGCTGTTCATAACTCTTCTTCCGGTGGATGTTCGTTAATTTATAATTCAGGTTGCTTATGGCCAGCATCGCCTGTTCTTTAGAGTCGGCTAAAACACATCCATTCACCTTGCTGGTCTTGAAGCTTCTCAGTTTCGTTGGCTAAAATCTTTTGGTCCCTAAATTTGAGTTTTACTCATTATTATCAGATAAATGGAATCGTCTCTTTATCAGGGGATCTTATCAACCAAAGGGGAGATAACCTATATTTTTCATAGTAACTCTTATAAATCTTATAATCAGGTCCTTAATAAATTGGTAACCAATAAAATGTGGACTATATTAACATTAAAGGAATTGATATTAAAATGAATCAAATTAAGTTTAATTTAGTTCAAATTTAATTTCTATGATGATATCTTAAAAACAATTTAAAGAGTTCCTATTCTCAACATATATATATATATATATATATATATATATATATATAGAGAGAGAGAGAGAGAGAGAGAGAAAGAGAGAGATAGATAGATAGATAATGGTGTGTTTCAAATGTTCTGAACTGAATATTATCCCTTTTAAAGTAACTGAAAATTATATTTTTATGTCGGTGACTTATAAGAATACATTGTTAATGTTGTATGATTTTCTTAAAATTTGTAGATTTTCATTGCAAATATTATTGGCATTTGTTGCCTGTAGCTCAAACAGACAGTAATAATAAGGATCAATATTGCCTGGTGATCGATATCTTTTAATGATAATTTTTTTTCTTTTTGCTATCCCACCCACTACCATTCACATAAAGTGGTCAGATCTGTCACCTTCTGCACTTTTTGACTTTAATATACCCTGTGACTGTCAAATTTTCTAAGTCATTCATTCTCATTATGTGTCCAAGTAATTTTACCAGTCACTTTCTGATTCTGTGAATAAGTAACCGTTTTGTTTCTAATTTCTTTAAAATTCTTCATTGCTCAAGTGCTCCATCCATAGTATTCTCAGCTTCCTTCTGTAGAACCATATTTCTGTGAGGAAATTTTCCAGTATTCACGGGGACTGATATTACACGGCAGTTCATCAATTTTTGCTTTGTTTCTAAAGAAATTTTTCTGCTACTATGTACTAAGTACTAGGCTTAGTTTTTACCTTTTGCTATTCCAATGTGCATTCAGATTTTGGTGTACTGGGATACTGATATAGATAGACAAACCTGGACAGATTTATATATTGAAATTATAGAGACAAACTAGAATTCTGAGATTGATAGATATGCGTAAATAGAATGTAATAGAGACACAGATATATAGAGAGACAAATATGAACATATTGACACTTATATAAACGGAGTGGAACTTTGTTATAGATAGGTAATGAACAGACTACCACAGATAGACATGAACATAGCTAGCTAGATAGATAGATAGTGAACAGATAAATTATATTAGATAGATATGAACAGAATGAGGTAGATTGATAGATGGATAGATAGATAGATATATCGACAGATAATGAACAGATAAATCATATTAGATATACACAGAATGGATAGATAGATAGATAATGAACAGAATGAGATAGATAGATAGATAGATAGATAGATAGATATGAACAGATTGTAATATTGTTATAATTGAACACACTTATTCTATAGTTAATAGACTCTCCCACCTATAATAAGCTGTAGTAGTAATAGTAATGAGCCAGTCGCTCAGAGAGTTGGTCAGTCAGTCAATGTTGGACGATCGTTAGTCGGATATTAAAGTATCAGCCACCACAACTAGATTGCTGCGTCATTAACTATTATATCAAGTTCTTAACGTTTTGTATGTCGAACCTATTTTAGGACCGACTTAGTGAAATACAAGCCTCCACTGTGAAACTACTCTATAACAACTTGGCGAGGAGGGATTCGAACTCATATGGGGGAAGAAAAACTTTTCGTACTCTACAACAGATATATAGATAAGAACTGAGATAGATAGATAGATAGATAGATAGATAGATAGATAGATAGATAGATAGATAGGCATGAACATTGATTGATTCATTCATTTTTTACGGCTTATCAACCCTTTGCTGCTTATTTAAAGCCAGAAAATATTTTTAGATTTTAAGAATATTTTTTTTGAGATAATAATGACTCATTGATAAATGTCTTACTAATTAACCCATAGCTAGGAGGAGAATAGGTGGATTCTTGCCTAATCAGAATCTGATAAACAAATAAGAAATTATATAAATGTGGATATAAAGTGTGGGATTAATTCTATATTACAATCAATATATAAATTGATCCCTCACTTTGTGGCCGCTGTAGTTTCTATACATTTACATTCCAGAGAATGTAAATAAATCTAAAAGACATAACATAGCTAATCAGTATTTGATATAATGAATCCGACTGGAATTGGAACTCAACTTGCCAATTAACAATTCCAAGCCATAATCCATTATATCACCCACAGATACAAGATTACAGCACCTGGTATTCCCAAGTGGTCACCCATCTAGGTACAGACCAGGCTCGACATTGCTTAACTTTGGCGATTGTATAGGAACTGATGCTTCAATGTGATGTGGCTGGGAGCCTAGGCATGAACAGATTCAGATAAGAACAAATTCAGATATATATATATATATATATATATATATATATATATATATATATATAAGTAACAAAAATCTTGGTAATCTATATGGATAAACCCAAGGAGGATGAAATCCTGAGAGCTCAATATTAAGCCAGACCAAATAATTTAATTTAAAGAAAAACAGACTGCTTTAAGACTCCATTTGTAATAGTTTATTTCACCAGAGAATTTTATTTTTCTCTGGATTTTCAGACTTCATTTTCAAAAGATGGAAAGAAAAATGAATTTCATTTTTCCTTCCACCTTTTGAAAATGAAGTCTGAAAATTCAGAGAAAAATAAAATTCTCTGGTGAAATAAATTATTACAAATGGAGCCTTAAAGTGGTCTGTTTTTCTTTAAATTAAAAAAAAAAAAAATATATATATATATATATATAGAGAGAGAGAGAGAGATTTAAGGTGTGCTTATAGGATAAAGTGCACAATATCATAGACAGAACGTATGTAAATATAGATATAAAAGTGAACATAGAAGTCAACACTCAGAAACACACTAAGAATACTAGAAGAGATTTGTTTAGTTGATTTTTTGTTTAATGCTGAATTTTCTGTGGGGCACTCAGTGAGATACAAACTCACTACTTGGTAGTAATGGTCAGGCAGACGAACCTGGTTAACTATTACTCACTGCCAAATTAGGTTGTTTGATTTTATAACATGTCAACCCATGTTGGGTTATTTAATGTTGAATTTTGTATGGGGCACCTAGTGAGGCTCAAACTCACAAGTCAGTCATAATCGACTCAAATAGGTTCATTAACCATTATCTGATGACTATGAGATCAATAGCTAGGTAGATTAAAATGATGACAGACATGAACAGATTGCAATAGATAGGAATGGACTGAAATTGAGAGACAAACATGAAAAGACAGTGAGAGATTTATATGAAGAGACTAAGAGAGACAGATATAAAAATAGTCTGAAATAGATAGATAATTGCCAGATTGAGATAGATAGATAGATAGATAGATAGATAGATAGATAGATAGATAGATATGAACAGACTAACATAGATAGATAGATAGATATGAACGGACTGAGATAGATATATAGATAGATAAACAGACAGATAAGTGCCAGATTGTGATAGATAGATAGATAGATAGATAGATAGATAGATAGATAGATAGATATAGATAGATAGATAGGTATGAACAGACTAAGATAGATAGATAGATAGATATGAACAGACTGTGATAGATATATAGATAGATAAACAGACAGATAATTGCCAGATTGTGATAGATAGATAGATAGATAGATAGATAGATATGAACAGACTGTGATAGATATATAGATAGATAAACAGACAGATAATTGCCAGATTGTGATAGATAGATATATAATGAACAGACTAACATAGACCGATAGATATGAACAGACTAACATAGATAGATATGAAAAGACTAATATAGATAGATAGATTGATATGAACAGAACGAGATAGATAGATAGATAGATAGATAGATTGAGATAGATAGATAGATAGATTGATAGACAGATAGATAGATATGAACAGACTAACATAGATAGATAGATAGATAGATAGATATGAACAAACTGAGATAGATTGATAGATATAAACAGACAGAGATCAACAGATACAAACTGAGATAGATAGATATGAAGAAAGAGATAGATACATAGATAGATAGATATGAACAGGCTGAATTAAATATATAGATTTGAACACAGATAGATATTTATATTTAAACAGATTACAATAGATAGCTAGAGAGATAGATAGATATGAATATACTGTGATATAAATAGTTACATTTTTTAAATTGCTGATCATGTTTTTTACCAGATTCTAATCATCTTATTTCCCTTTGTTGATGTGTCAACCATTTATAGAATAAATACTCGGCACATAATAAATACATTTTTTATTAATTATTTGATTTTATTTTTTACAAGCCCAGAATTCATTTCGTTTTTAGCATGTCAGAAGTTCCAGCAAGAAAAGAAACCTGGTGAAAACATGACATTCACAAAAAAAGATTTGGTTGAAGATTTTTTCTTTTTTTTCTTAAATTATTTTTGCTCTTTTGATGTTGGGAAAGAATTAAAATTTAAAAATGATTATTTTGGGTCTAAATAAATAACATAAAAGAAATTTTTGGACTTAGGGCATCTGCTAATAAAAACAACTGCTATATGCATGTCTACACATATAAGCTTGTTTTTCCTATCTGCCTGTACTTGTGTAAGTATATACACACACTTACACACATATATATATATAGGAATGTATATTTCTAAATGTATTTGGCAATGAATGTACTGATGTTTATGTATGTTGTGCATATTATATATAGAAATAGATAGATAGATACGAACAGACTTAGATAGGTAGATAGATACGAACAGACTGAGATAGATAGATAGATAGATAGATATGAACAGATCGGGATAGATAGATAGATATGAACAGACTGAGAGAGATAGATAGATAGATAATGAAGAGACTGAGATAGATAGATAGATAGATAGATAGATAGATAGATAGATAGATAGATAGATAGATAGATATGAACAGTCTGAGATAGATATGAACAGACTGAGATAGATAGATAGATAGATAGATAGATATGAACAGACTGAGAGAGATAGATAGATAGATAATGAAGGGACTGAGATAGATAGATAGATAGATAGATAGATAGATAGATAGATAGATAGATAGATAGATAGATGCGAACAGACTGAGATAGATAGATAGATAGATAGATAGATAGATAGACAGATAGATCTGAATAGAATGAGATAGATAAACAGATAGATATGAACAGACTGAGATAGATAGATAGATGGATATGAACAGACTTAGATAGATAGATAGATAGATAGATAGATAGATAGATAGATAGATAGATAGATAGATAATGAAGAGACTGAGATAGATAGATATGAACATAGATAGATAGATAGATAGATAGATATGAACAGGCTTAGATAGATAGATAGATAGATAGATAGATAGATAGATAGATATGAAGAGACTGAGATAGATAGATAGATAGATAGATAGATAGATAGATAGATATGAAGAGACTGAGTTAGATAGATAGATAGATAGATAGATAGATAGATACGAACAGACTGAGATAGATAGATAGATAGATAGATAGATAGATAGATAGATATGAACAGGCTTAGATAGATAGATAGGTAGATAGATAGATAGATATGAAGAGACTGAGATAGATAGATAGATAGATAGATAGATATGAAGAGACTGAGTTAGATAGATAGATAGATACGAACAGACTGAGATAGATAGATAGATAGATACGAACAGACTGAGATAGATATGAACAGACTTAGATAGATAGATAGATATGAAGAGACTGAGTTAGATAGATAGATAGATAGATAGATAGATAGATAGAAACAGACTGAGATAGATATGAACAGAGATAGATAGATAGATAGATAGATAGATAGATAGATAGATAGATAGATTATGAACAGATCGGGATAGATAGATATGAACAGACTGAGATAGATAGATAGATATGAATAGAGATAGATAGATAGATAGATAGATAGATAGATAGATATGAACAGAGATAGATAGATAGATAGATAGATATGAAGAAGCTTCAGTGATATAGGAACAGTTTATTCTTTTTGATGTGTCAACTACCACAGTTAAGCACAAGAAGGAAATTATACATTTGATCAAGGCAAAAATTGTTATGGCCAGAACTTAACCAGAGTTTTGCATTTGATCTCTCCTCTCACCTCATTGAAACAGCTCAGTAGAGGAGGGTGAAAACTGGCTTGTCAAATTCCTCAAGGAACAAACTAGCTACTGTCCACATTTGATCGGACCCAGAACTTTCACCAATCTGGGGGATGCCTTGAGTGCTTCTTAGCACTTAAACTCAGCCCAGACCTTAAGTAGAACTCATACATAGGATCCATCGAGTCCAAATTAAAGCATGAAAACTGTTCCTTTTATAGGCATTGTAAATTATTACAGTATTTGTAGCTGATTCTATTCAGTGCCTGTTTCAATCTTTTAATGTAGATTACTTTTAGGATCTGTAGTTCTAATATACAGGCTGTCCATAAAGTTTGTGTGCACTTTAAAAATGCAAATAAAGTTATAAATGTTTTAAAGTGCACACAAACTTTATGGAAGTCTATATATAAAATGTAAACGTATATACCGTATCTCAACACCAAGCAGTAACAGTCTGTTTCATGCTTGAACGAAATCTTCAGGCCATTTGTGTTGTGTTTTGGCTCACCTATATATTCTGGTTATTAGGTACACAGTCACAGTCATGTTTCAAGTTATTCCAGATATGACTGAGTAAGAATAATTGTAGATCCGAATATGGTTATTTATTTGTAAAGGATGCTAAGGATACCATGGACTGAGTGTGTGAGCAATGATGAGGTCTTGGAGAGGATGCAAACAAGGAGGAAGCTTATATCTAACATCAGGAAGAGGAAGCTGAAGTTTCTGGGATACATAATGAGAAAAGAGTGCTTGGAGAATCTGATACACACAGGTCAAACAGAGGAAAAGAGAGACAAGGGAAAGTAATGCATGAGATACCTAGCAGGCTTAAGCAGGTGGATGACAGAACAGAACCAGGTGGAAGTAGCAAAGGGACAAAAATTATTGAGAGCTACAAGGGATAAGAAGGAGTGGAGAGCCATGATCACCTATGTCCTGAAGGGACATGGCACATAAAAAGAAAAGAAAGTAGCTATTTTGTAGTACTGTTAAATTTTGGTAGTTATTATTAATTACTTAATTATTACTTGTTGATTATTAATATTAAACTTGTTTGTATTTATGTATGTATTTATAGTTTGTTTATGGGTATGTACCCCGAGTGGTTAGCATGTTCACTATCTGACCATGAGACCCGGGTTCAAATCACACTATGGTTGATATGTCAGAAGGGAGACTTCCTAATATTTTGGAAAGTGCCTGAAAACCATACCACGGTTTGTCCCAAGCCTCGTGTGTGAAACTGGGTAGATGGAACTCTTGAGGGCCATCGATAGCTGTGCTAGCACAAAGCCACAAGTCATCGTGTCTGAGGGCTTAAGTGTGCTGGTCTTCTTCAAAGTGTTGACCATACTAGATAATACACTCTCTCCCAGAAACTGTAACTAAGCTCTGCTTGGCATAGTTGCAGTATAAAACACAGGTGGGCTCTGTAGGTGTTGAACAAAACACAAATGTGCCTGAGTGAGCGTCGGCAGTAAGGATTGGCTAGCTGCCCTGGTAAATGAGTATCCAGCTATTATATTATTCATAGTTTGTTAATTTATTTAGTTAGATCTTTTGTTTATTTTTATTTTGTTTGTATACATCCAAACATATACCATATATACATCCAAACATACACCATATATACATCCAAACATAGATCATATATACATCCAAACATACACCATATATACATCCAAACATACATCATATATACATCCAAACATACACCATATATACATCCAAACATACACCATATATACATCCATACAAGGCAACTGAGTGTATAAGACAACCCCCAAATTTTCAAGCTAAAATTAAGGTTTTGGGCTATATTGACTGTACAAGACACCTCCACCTATGAATCATATTTTAAAATGTATTGTATTGAATTTGATAAATAAATTCACTAAGCATAGACTTTCTTTTCACTCAAATTTTAATGAAAAAATGATTTACAGTGTGTGATGATGGTTTTGGATTTCCCTCTTGATGAATATGCATTTTATTGTTGTTGTGCAATCATAGCACATATTATATAAGGTAAGATTACTTTTATTACACTACACTTTTATTATTTTATTATAATAATGTGAATTAAATTGTTTCAGTAGAAAATATTTGTGTTGATATTTACCAAGGCAGGTGTTAATCTACTGTCAGAAATGTCCCACAATAACAACTTACCCTAAACCACAGGATTTAAGGTTCACATTTTATATCTGGAGTATAAGATAGCCCCCTATATTGTGGGTATTTTTCAAGGTTAAAAAGGTTACCTTGTATGACAACATAATATGGTTTATATATAATGTACAATCAGCATCAAATGATTTTAGGCAATGTAAGATACATATAACAGTAGTGCTCTCTCCAAATGTGGCAATTAAAGAACAGTGTTATTGCAACCATTATTATGTGAGATATTGTAGCAAAAGTCAAATCTTATAATGGGAAAGGCAATAGATGTAATTTATGTCTTGTTGAAAAATTAGTTATCTTAAAGCACTTAAATAACCCTAGCTTACTAAACAAGAGAAATAAATTGATGGTTACATGTAGGTATAAAATAAATATCTGTTGAAATATGTTGATCCAGATTAATTCTTTAATGTAAATTATGACATTTTTCTTTTTAATTTTAATGTTTTTTGCTTTTTTTTAAACCAGTAATCTCCCTTTATGCTTAATATAAAATTAATATTCAAAACTGTCAATAAAAATCAATATTTTTTTATTTATTTTACATATATAAAATAAAAATTCTGTTTATTTCGAATGCAAAATATATTTAGAAATAAAAACCTGAAATCCCTTTATTATATATGGACTGTGACAACATAGCATTAACCAGATGTTTTTATTAAAATTTAAATTATTCAACAGTCAGTCTATACATAGCACCTGAAGATTGCATCGTGCATGAAACTCTGAGTCATGCTACCAGTGAGGGATAATATGTATATTTATTAATAGATACTTAATAGCTCTGTCATATTACATTGAGCATTGTTTTATCATCACTAGCACTCTATGTGCGATATATATATATATATATATATATATATATATATATATATATATATATATATATATAATTATTTTTAAAAATATGATTCCATCGCTACATAAGAGTTCTAATATGCTAAAAAACTTCGATTTAATTATAAAAATTAAATTGAATTAATGTATCAATCTTTGTTACATCTTCAAGTGAAATTTTTGGAAGATTCCAAAAAATTTGAAACATGAGAACTCTTATGTAGCAATGGAATCATATTTTTAAAAAATAATTATAATTTTGGCTCTACTTTTGTATTGAACACTGTTTTTTTAAAAATAAAAACAAAAATACTAAAGAACTTTGGATTATTAACCTAATGTGTTCTTTCCTATTTTTCTATATATTTGCACATATATATATATATATATATATATATACTTAATAATAACCTGGCTCGATTGTGAAGTCCCAAGCTTCAAGAAAATAATTTAAATAAAGCTGGAATAGAAACTGAAATATTTCAAATACCCATTAAAAATAATATTTATATTAATAAGAAATAATGCTTGATAAAAAAAATACTAAAAAAAATACTATATATATATATATATATATATATATATATGCAAACATACATACATATATATATATATATATATATATATATTGACTCATGTTTATTTCTCATGTTAGTCTTTTTCTGCAAAATGATTTTGTTGTGCCAGAGTGAATTCCCTTCTGGCTGACTTGATACCAGTCTGAGAAAAAAATAAGTTCAGAACTAAAAGAAAAACTTTGCGATTAAATGTCTGCTAATTACATCTGCCAGTCACCGTGTAATCTTCACTGGCAAGGTCTGTCTATCTAGCTTGCATTTATCTTCTTATCAGATGTCACATATCAAATAATACATTTTAATTCAGTTACATCTTTATTTGCTCCACGTAGTCCATGTTCTCCTAAGGACCCACACCCATGTCAAATCCCCTGCCATGGCCTTTCTCTCTCTACTCAGAGAATTGCTAATTGAATTCTACTTGCAAAGATCTAACAACCACGATCTTATTAACCATATCGACAGCAACAGGATCGCGGCAGATAGGTTGAAATTTCCATTTTCTTAACCTGCTATGACTAAAGAGAGTTTTGGAAAATAATGAAACAAGAACTGATATTCAGTCTTATATTACAATAGTTAAAGTCGCAACAAATTAAATTCTTGCATTAGTCTAGGACTTCTTATTCTATGTGCCGTGTCATTTCAGGATGTTGGCAATCATAGCTCTCCACAATTTTTTGTCCTTTGGAGCTCTTAATAAACTTTGTTTTTTTTGTTATCTCTCCTAAACCTTATTACACTATCCATTTACTCAAGTTCACTATGTAGGTTATACATTGTTTTCTTCTTATTTTTAATCTGTCCTTTGAGTATCAAATTTTCCAAGCTCTCTTTCCTCAATTTCAACTATCTCTTTCTGATATTAAATATAAGTGTCATTTTGGTTCCGTTTCCTCTATATGAAGTAATAAGGAAATGTTTCCTTAACAGAGATTTTTAAAAGGTAACAAAAGAACAGTCTTGTTCATTATTTAATTACTTCAAAAATCTCTTTGAAATAGAACCTGTTTTGTTCATTTTTAAGTAATTTAATATAAAATATATAATGGACTCTCCCATCACTCTTGACATATGATGGTCCAGTAACTCAAATCTTAGACCTGAACGATCAGACTACCTGCACATATAATTTGGTTACAGTGCTGAAAGCCTGTGAAGAAACAGCCAACGTTTTCAGAAGAACCATATACAAAGAATTGGTGCACATCATTTAAAGTTTTCCTTCTCCTAGGCTGGTTGACATTCAAGACTATAGGACCCAGTCTGCCCTGCTATTTATCCATAGGTGGAAGGGAGATGTGATCAAATCATACCTTTTCCAAGTATAATAAAAAAAAATGATTTTGATTTTAAATAACCAAATAATAGTTGATAGTTTGTAAAAGTCACCTAGCTAACCGAAGCTAGTTTGAACAAAAAGCACAAAATATTACTATCCTTGATACTAATATAAATAAGATGGTGTTTTAGAATTAAAGAAATTATTGAAATCTGCATCAGCCATATACCCAAATCATAAGTTTGTGAAGACGAAAAAATAAAGTTTACCAAATTGTAAATTTCGCTAACCCAGTAAACACCACTTTGTTAATAAATGAAACCTAACAATATTGAAAAACAACAGAACCTCACCCAGAAACAAAGATAGCTCTGAAATCTTTTTTGAAGTTCACCCTATATAAGGCCCAAGTGCCACTTAGTGTAGAGTTATTGAAGGCAGTTGTTGAATGATCACTATGAGTAAGGGGTAATTGTTAATCCTAGATTTGAAGAGGTTAATATTTTAGTGTTTGGGAAAGTATCCTCTTGGGAGTCGGTTTCACAAGGCAACCGTTCTTGGGAAGAAGCAATCTGTTTTGAACTTACTTCTTACTAATGGAATATGAAGTGTATGAAGGTGGTTAGTCTTGATAAATGCAACGTAGCAGGTCTGAGATGCAAAATTGTCTTGAATCAACAGAAATATGGCTCTACAGGAGGATGCTGAGAATACTATGCACCAAACAAGTGAGTAACAAAAAACTTTTAGAAAAGATGGAAACAAAAAGGTCACATACTTAACATCAGAAAAATTTAGTTGAAATTTCTATGGCATATCATGAGAAAAAGAGGGCTTAGAAAATTTGATACTCACAGAACTGATTGAAGGCAAGATGGACGGAGGAAAACAACCTACCTAGCGAGCTTTAGTAAATGGATGGTGGAACAAGGTTTAAGATAGATAACAAAAAGACAAAATTTATTAAAAGTTACAAAGGACAAGAAATTAAGGAGAGCCATGATCACTAACATCTTGAAGTGACATGGCATATAGAAAAAGTGTTGCAGTTTTTATCATGTAGCAGCCTCAGATACTGCTGCTAACATTGAACTCCTGGTACCACTAACCCTAACCCTATCTGACTTCAGTCATTATTAAAAGATAAAAAGGACAAGAAATTGTGGAGATCCATGAACATGAATATCAGTGTTGGGCTTCAGTGGTTAGGTATCTTTGTTGAGTCACTAATGTGCCATCCATGATATATGCATAGGTGGGGATGTATCTTTCAATACATGACTGACGAGCAGATTTTTTCCCACAGTAGGTTGCCATTTCTTTGTGCGGTTGACCAGTTGCCATCCAAGGCTATAGGATCCTGGTCTGTCCTGCTATTTATCCATAGCTTGGGGGAGAAGAAGAGGATTCATACTTTTCCCAAGGGTATTAGTACGTAAGTGAATGTAATGGTTTTCAATGGAATTTGAACTCGGCTCTCTGATTCCTCAATCCAAGCCAATATCCATAATGTCTTCGTAATATAAGACTTATTAAAACAATTCAAAAGACATAAGCGAATTCATTAATGCAAAACATACATTAAAATAGAAAGAAGAATATACAAAATAAATCTGATTATATTGGTGAAGGTTTTGTGCGGAACCATCCACACTTTTTGAAGAGCTGAATACAGAGACCTTGTGCACTATGTGCCACAAGGTCCCTAAATGACATCCAAGGCTATAGAACCTAATCTGTTCTGCTATTTACCCATAGCTGGAGAGAGAAGAAGAGGATTCATACCTTTCCCAAGGGTATTAGTATGTAACTGAATGTAATGGATTCGACTGGAATTTGAACTTGACTCTCTGATTCCTCAATCCAAGCCGCTATCCATTACTCCACCATGAGTACTTGGCCAAAATGGATGAGGGAGCGGGTAAGTGTACATGGTTGATCTGATGAGCATTTTGCCCTGGTATCGAATTGATGGGAGTTTATACACTGTTGGAAAGGATTGGAAAGAAACTATAGGGATGTTTTCTGATTGGTCAAAAAATATTTTTATTTCTTTCTAATTTTTCTTTTGCCTCAAAAGTGAATGTGCAGAGCTGGTCAAAGATTAAACCAGTTTGCATCATCTGAACATAGCTGTCAAAGTGAGTACTTTCATTTTTGTTGAAGAGTGAGAGTTCCAACAGTCTACGACAGAAGTGAACAACTGCTGAAAATAAAGGCGATCAGGCACCTAATCATGACTGCATTAGAACAAAGTCCAAAGACTCATGGAAAAAGTTGTAAGAACAGATTCAAGAAATAATAAAATCTATCATAGCTGTGACAATTTAGAAAAAATACAGAAGAGTGTATTGGAAAGAAACGCTATTTCCAACACAATTACATACCAACATATATACCATATTAAAACATGCCCAAACTTTATTTTCTCCCCAATAACAGCCAATATTAAAAACATACCAAAAAGATTTCATAATACAACACTGTTGAAATGAAAGTTCAAAATTAACATTACCATGTGAAATATTTGACCAATCACTGAAAATTAAAACATTATTGTTCTTGAGCCTACTTTCAGGAAAAATTCTTATAAAACCCACAGATTTTAACTTTTAGAGTAGTGATATGACTGTCTTCAAACCATTCAACCCCCAGTGCAGGCTGAAAGAAACATATGTTGGCAACTTCAAATAAATCAAGTACAACAACTTGGATGGCCAGTGAATCATCACTGATGATCATGTGTTGGCAACTTCAAATAAATCAAGTACAACAACTTGGATGGCCAGTGAATCATCACTGATGATCATGTGTTGGCAACTTCAAATGAATCCTTTCAAAAAAAAAAAAACAAACAGTCAGTGAATCTAACAATAAAAGTCTTTTCTAAATCACATATTTTTCTGTGAATCAACTACCCAAAGACTTTAATGCAACTAAAGATTATTTTTTTCTTTTGGATTCTTTTGAGTTCAGGTACATATGTTTGTAAATACAAATGGTTTATTTAACAGGTATATACATGATTTCTTTATTTTTATTGTTTTATTATCTGGAATTCAAAAGTTCAGATTTTTACTTGATCCCCAAATATTTGACTTTAAAAGTATTCATTATAATTAAAATAGAATTCAATTGAAATGATTCAAAATAAAACTTTGCAGATGGACTAGGAGACTTTCAGGCATGATTGAGGTTTATTGGTCTGCTTGTAAAAAATAGGGAAAAATGTTTTTAAAATAAATCTTTTAGATTAGCAATCATTAGCCCTTTCTTAACCAAAAGCATGTTTTAGAATCAATGAATATTGATTTTTTTTTAGGATTTCTGAAGGGGGATCCTATTCATAATATAAACACAGTGTCAAATTGTTCCCTGAATCCTTAAAGAGTTATCTGTACTTTGTTTTTATTTACAAATGTCAAGTTTAAAACTCTGATTACATTATTGATACTTGTATATTTTACAAATTGATAAAAACAAATTCAGTATTATGCAGTTTTCAATGATATAAGCCCAGTTTCAAACTTGACATTTATAAATAAAAACAAAGTACGGATAACTCTTTAAGAAATCAGGCATGGATTTGACACTGCATTTGTACTTATGAATAGGACTCCTCCTCCTTCTAAAATGAAAAAAATGAAAAAAAAAATCAATATTTTCATTGTTGAAAAATCTTGAGAAAGGTATAATGAATGATAGCTTACAGCCATATCATGTCAAAAGAACAATTCCCGTATGATCACTGAAGTTAAGCAACATTGAGTCCGGTCAGTACTCAGGTGCTGTAAGCATGAATGTGTGGGTGGTGTAATGGATAACAGTGGGTGGTGTAAATGAAAACTTTTGATTTATATCAGGGGGACCTGTTCATAATATAAATATAGTGTCAAACTGATCCCTGACTTCTGAAAAAGTTATCAGTACCTTATTTTTATTTACAAATATCAAGTTTGTATTATGTTTCTTTTTTCTCAATTCATAGTAGCATATAGTTGTCAATATCATGAGTACAGTTTCAACCTTAATATTTGTAAATAAAAATAAAGTATAGATAACTCTTTTAAGAAACCAGGCATCAAGTTAACACTGTATTTACACCCTTATGCAAATTAATTGAAACAACCACTCTAATTTCCTTTCTTTCACCATACAGTCAGTTTTAGACACAT